TTCGACGACCCTGCGGCAGTGGTGCTAGAAGACGGCGAGGTCGAAGCAGAGAGTGCAGATGCTGCCGCACCTCGAGCCGAAGCTGCTGGCGCTGCCGGCGGCTCAGCGGCAGGTCCAGAGGCTGATGAGGTGCGGGCTGGCGAAGCTCGTCGTCGACTTTTCGGAGATCAGACGGTCGACCCAGAGGCAGGCGCGATGGTGCCGGCGCCTCCAGCACCACATCCTGAGGGTCGAGTGGCCAGGCGACGAGTGCAACACGGACGAGACACGCGATCTCGAGATCAACGATATCAGCAGCTAGTACCTCAAGGCGACGAAGACCAAGATGCTTGGAGCAATTCTGATTTCAGACATGTGGTGCGTTTGCTTCACGACGCTGACTTGCTCACAAATAAGAAGGCCCTACGTCGACTGCATGTGAGATGGTATCATGCGACGATAGCTCAGATGACCAGATTATTATCCCTGGTGGGAGTACCGCAGGAGGTGATGAAGCTGATCGCAGAAGTGGTGGACACGTGCAGGATATGCAGGACGTGGGCAAGAGGAGCACCGCATGTCAGGACAGCAGTGAGGATCAGCATGAGGTTCAATCAGACAGTTCAAGGAGATCTCATGTTTTATTCAGACGAGACGGGACCAGAAATCAGAAGTTACATTATTTTTCATTTGATATGCGAGTGCATCAAATGGACGGTCGCCGAGGAAGTCGCCGATGAGGAAACGCACGCGGTCTTGGCAACAATAGTTTCGAGGTGGATCAGAGTATTTGGCCCTCCAGAACTGATGATATGGGATGGAGAAGGAGCCATGGGAAGTGATGGGGCCAAGACGTGGGCTACGAGATGGCACATGGAGTTGGTGGTGAATCCCAAGGACAAGAAGGCTTGGATAGCAGAGAGACATCGCGAAGTTCTGAGGCAGCAGTTGCATCGTACCCAGTCGCAGCTTCAGGCAGACAACATCGTGGTGACGTTTGTCGAGACCCTATCGGAGTCAGTGCTGGCTAAGAGTGCTTTGCTATCCACTGGTCAGGGCACACCCTATCAGTCATTATATGGAAGAACGCCGAGGCTTATACCGCAGATCGAGGATATCGTGGGCGAAGCCAGGATGCAGGATGAGAATGGCATGGGCGGTTTACGTCATGTACATCGGCTTCGAGAAATATCCGTCGGAAGCGCGATATCGGCGTTGGCTGAGCATCGCCTGAGGTTGGCGGACAAGTCGAGGACGCCCCTCGCCGGCGAGCAGCTGGACTTGAGCAACGGTGACCAAGTGGAGATATTCAGGAAGTCTCAGCAGAAGGATCTGCCGGGCTGGGTAGGACCAGCAACAGTCACGGATTTGACGGAGCTAGAGCGCGGCAAGGTGACGGTGCGATGGCAAGGCAGGCATATCACTGTTCCTGTAGAGAGTCTGCGAAGAGCCATGGTATATCTCGTGCTGTTTCTGGACGTGTGTACCAACCAGGTCCAGAACAATGACGTGCTCAAGGCCTGGAAGTGCGTGGCGAACTTCACCGGCACGCTGAGGAAGCAGGCAGCTATTCTTGGCTGGGTGCGGACGGCAGCGGGATGGCAGCTGACGGCAGATGCGATGAAGCACGGAATGGTGTTCTATGCCATACTGGATGTCGCGCACAACTTGATGAAGATGCAGAATTCGCCTGGCAGGTGTGTGCGCCGAGGGAGTGTCAAGGCTAACCTCATTGAGTGAGGGTGCCTTAGGAAGTGTGATTGTGTTTTGGTCGCAGGCCGACGAGTTGGACTACCGATACATCGTCATTAATGGAGGACAGAGTGTGAATGTGGAGGTGCTCCTGGGAGATCAAGGTAACTGGAGGCAGACGTTTCTGGTGCAGTTCTGTTTGTATGGAGGAGGTGTGGTGGAGACGGCGCAGCGAGAAGAGCCCGGAGTACCACAGCTAGGCGGAGTGCATACGGAGAGGCGCAATAATTCCCTGGTGGTGCTATCGCCGATCGCGATGAGCGACGCCTCAGATCGGGGTGTTGGTGAAGCGCCAGAAGTTGCCAGAGACGATGAGCTGGGAGATCTAGATCAGGAGTTCTGGTTGGCGTGGCAGCAGGAGTTGGAAGCAGAGGATCCGCACTTGACGAGGACCGCCGAGGAGGACGAGTGGAGCGCAGTGCTGTATTCATCCACGCCGCCAGAGACCGAGTATGACACGGAAGGCGCGCTGTTGGGATATGAGTACCTTCACGCATATGCAGAGGTACATCCCAGATATCAGCTTTGCCATGATGACGATATCCGGATGCTAGGCGAGTACGACAAGGACGTTAAGTTTTTTGCCACCAAGCTCGCGCCTGACAATCGAGAGGTAGTGAAGATGATAATGCAGGAGCCCGCAGATATTCAGTTGCCAGTTGGCTTGGCTTATCTCAGCGGATATCTTCCAGAAGATGCAGCGTGGCAAGATGGTGATGTGTGTGTCTTACACGTGGGCAAGGCCAAGATCAAGAGGGCCCTGATCGAGACTAACAAGACGCAGTCTAACATGGCAGTATCGGATGAGGATTTGCGCAAGCATCCAGAGCTGGCGAAAGCAGCAGTGTTGGCAGAACTTCTCAGATGGAATGATAATTCTTATATGCGACGCCAGGCCAAGAAGGACGCATGGAACTTATTAACGTCTCGATACGTATCCACGTGGAAATTGCAGAATGACGGCACGCGCCTCATGAAGTGCAGATTGACAGTTCACGGATTCAAGGACATGGAGCGAGGCCACCTGGACAAGTTCAGTGGAACAGCCAGTTCGTGGGGGCAGCGGGCCGTGGTGGCTACTGCAGTGCAGTCGGCATGGCCGATAGCATCGCTTGATATATCGCAGGCGTTCTTGAAGGGGCTGACATTCGAGGAAGTGCAACAGATACGTGGTGGACCTAAACGTCAGGTATCGATGGTATTGCCTCGCGGACGTGGAGGAATTGAACCCGCCGGCAGTGCAATATTGAGGTCCATCAAGGGTTTCGAGAATTTCAACGATGCCACGGAGTGCTTGGAGATGCTGAGAGGAGGTTTTGGTCTGATTGACGCGCCAAACTTGTTCACGATGAAGGCCGACAAGGTGCTCAAACAAGAAAACATCAAGCCGACAATTTCAGATCCTAAGATATATCTCAAGTTCGAGAGCGGTAAGCTGATTTTTGATGGTGAGCACCCGCATGGATGGCTATAAAGCCGCAGGTGAACGACCGACTTTGATTCAGTTTCACAAGATGTTGCAGAAGCACTTCGGCAGTGACGTCAAGCTGAATATCGAGGAGTCTTTATTCACACAGGCATCAGACATAGAGTTTTGGAAAACGGCAAATGTATCATGTTGGATCAGTTCGATTATGCCGCATCCATCAAGCCGTTGGCGCCGAGCAGATTTCACGAGTATAAAGATGATCAGCCGCTAACGGAGGAGTTGAGTGCATGTTTCTTGACTCTCTTGGGAGCACTGGCATGGTTGATTCAAACAAGAGTGGATATTATCATATAGGTGAGTTCTTTGCAGCGAATCGCCAAGAAGCCGACCATCGTGGATCTCAAGCGCATTAACCGTTTGTGCAGGTACGTGAAGCAGAATCCACATGGTCTGGAATATCGTGCGATCAGTATGCCAGTCTCTTTGATCGCTGTTGGAGATAGCGCATATCAAGCGCCAGCTAACGCTGAGGCCGCCGTAGACCTTTTAGTTATGCGAGGATCTATAATAGCGCTTGCTCATTTTAACCAGGAGTCCAGCTCGTATGCGATTCAGATGTTGTCGTTTGCCGGAGGCAAGCAGAACCATGTTTGCCGAGGTGTCTGGAGCGCTGAGATTCATAATCAGTGCGATATGTTAGATATGTTGGTGATTAGAATGTCTTTGTTTGAAGAGGTTCGTCTACGACCACAGTCAGCCGAGAATATGAAGGCCATTAGGCAGTCAGGTGAATTTGTGCTGAACGGTGAGGCTTTCACTGATTCAGGATCTTTGTTTAGCTATCTAGAGGCAGATCATTTAAAGCTTCCCGCGGATAAAGGCACGTTCTTTCACCTAGCATATATCCGCGAGCTTTTAAGAACAAGAGTGCTGAAACCATATTACTGGGTCGACACTAGAGATATGTGTGTCGACGGCTTGACGAAAGGCAAGCTAGATTGGCATCCGTTGCGCCAGCTGATGAAAAGGTCGGTGGAAACTTACTCATGCGAGTAAGGCGTTGCATTCAGAACGGATGAAAGCTGTAGCTACCTAGACATCTGCCGGCGTGAGCCAGGTTTCGGTGGAGGCGGATGTCTCTGCGCAGTAGATACGCGATGGCCTAGAGCCACCTGTGCTTGATCGGCGGAAGTTGCTTCCGCGGTTAGTGTATCGAGCTGCGACCTGAGGATCGCAGTGCCCTCTGGAGTTCGACGTTTGCTGTACACACTGTTGATGTGCACCCGTCAGCCATTGGAGGTGGCAGCCCGACGTTAATCCGCATGTTCGGCGGTCAGAGACCTTTGCGACCAGAGCCGACTTGATAGAGCAGTGAACGTAGTAGAGTCGAGCTCAGAGGCATGTGCAGCGTCACGTAGCCGATACGGCTCAAGCTGCGCAGTTGATAGCATAACTCTAATTACTGCAGGTAGTACCAATATCATAAGCATCAGTATACTACCTCATCTTTCACTACGTGATATCAAGATATATTGCTGGTGGTATTGTTTAACTCTTGTCGAGTTGATATACGTCTTCGCCAGACGCGCGGAGAAGGAAAGAGTGCGATCGTGTCATAGCATCGCCGACATCGAGGTTGTTATCGACAACTCTAGCGACTTCGCCGATGCATCGCCGACGTCGCCAGTGCATCGCCGACACATCGGCGATGCATCGCTGATGGATCGGCGATGCGGCGAGATCCTCTGACCCCTATCTACATGGACCCCATCTGCGAGGCCTCGAAGTAGACGTCCCCTCGCCACACCCCCCTCTGCCTGCCGCCACACGTCTCCGACAGCTTCATTTCGGCCCTCCGAGATCACTACGCGAGCACATTCTCCAAGTACCCGGGCGCCAGGATTTTGGATGCCGGCCGAGCTGTCGCGCACGCCCGCCCCCGTGAACCCAGAGGGAGCGGGGTCGTGAGGTTTCTGGCCGTGTTCGGTCAGCTTTTCGTTTCGGCGATCGCGGGCGTCCCCAGAAGGGGGGGGAGGGGGGAGAGGGGGCCAGCGCTGTCTGAGGATTCGTTACACCCCCATCAATTCCGAGACGGCGCTGAGGCAAAACATTACGTTACGGCGGGGGGGGGAGGGGCAGCGGGGGGCCTTGGTCATCGGCGTTCTCGGGAATGGTTGAAATGTATGCCAGCGTGGACCCCAAACAGTAAGTCATGGCCAGCCATGTCGTCGTTTTCTTATTCATTGTTTTGCCGATCGGCGCGGGCCCTCGCCCCCTCCCCGTGGAGTAGGTCTTGGCTGTTTTTGGCGCCCCTCTCGAGCAGGTGGAGTCTTGCCCACAGGACGCACTGCTGCAAACAGTCGCATTAAGCAGAGTTCCCGAGCCAGACCCCCCCCCATCCCCCCCCTTCCGCCCAAAGTCGAAACGCCAAATAAGAAACCGTTCTCTACTTGGTGCAAGCTATGCGGTGTAAGTTATGTGGTGCAAGCTACGTGCTATAAGCTAGATGGTGCAATCTGTGTGGTCTAGTTCCGCTAGTTGTTGTAGACTGCGCGGTGCAATCTATGTGGCGCAGGCTGTGTGGTGTACGCTGTGCCGTGTAAAGCTGTGTGGTCCAAGCTACGTGGTGTCAACTATATGGTAATGCATGCCGCGCCCGCGAGGCGCACACGGGAGGCCAGGGGCGCACAGTGCGAAGCCTCGGCCCGCCCGCCCAGCGCAGGAGGCGCCCGCGAGACGCCCACGAGGCGGCCACGGGGCGAGCACCAGGGGAAGCCTCGGCGCACCCGCCCAGCACGAGCAGCCCACGGGCGCCCAACACAACTCGGCACACCCATCCAATTCCTTAGACAGGTGACCCTGAAGTGCCCTCCTCCCCCCTCCTCCTCCTCCTCCTCCTCCTCGTCCTCGTCCTCGTCCTCCTCCTCCTCCTCCTCGTCCTCGTTCTCGTCCTCGTCCTCGTCCTCGTCCTCCTCCTCGTCCTCCTCCTTCTCCTCCTCCTCCTCCTCCTCCTGAGCACGGCTTCGGGAAAAGGGGCTCTCAGTCATACAGCGGCTCGGGATGAAGAGCCAGTTCTGGGGAAAGCAACTCGGGCCCGTCTTTCGGATAACCCCTGTTTCATTCATGGCAAGCCCTGCCAGGACGGAGGGGAGGGAAGGAGGGAGGGAGGAGGAGGAGGAAATGGGGAGGAGGAGCAGGAGAGGGGGAGGAGGAGTAAAAGGAGCCTGGCTCCGCTATCACAGCGCGGCAGCGGTCATCTGCTCCAGCTGGATCAGCCATTACCCGGATGAGAAGACCTGGTCCCATCTCGGGGGCCATTTGACCACCTCTCCGATCATGGCCGGACCCAACTTTCGAATGAGAGGAATGGGGAAATCATGCATTTTTAAACGAGCCGCTCGGATCTCTTGTATTGAAGCTGGGCCCCCCTTGGCGGCGCATCCGGGGCAGCCCTTGGAGCAATCCGCGCGCCGGCGAGGGGGTCCAGCGCCGATCGAAGAAGTCCGCGCGGACCTTGGAAAGTTTCGGATGCAACACAAAACTTCTTGCAATCGTGGGCCAAGGATCGTTGTCCACGACTCTCTGGCCAAGACAGGGAGACGTAGACACCGATGCTGGGCCCAGGTTGGGCCCAGACAGGATCGGCGAGGCTGTCGGTCAGCGTCCCCCGATCCATGTGTCCATCACAGGGATGAACGAGTACGAGCTGCAGAACAACAAGCAGGCCGACGAGTCTTGAGGCTGACGCCGCACTGCATGACCTCCTTCTGCACGGCACATGCCTGCTGCTGTCAGGCGACTGTGATGATTATGGAATGACTCTTGTGATGATGATTGGAGTCACGACGGCGACGACGACGAAAAGGGCGATTATGGCCATGTCCATGATATGAATCTGCGTCCTGTGCCCAGGGTGCCCACAGCGGGGCTCGAAGCATTACACCGTGCGCAACCTGAACGTTGTCCCGGAGTTGCCCTACGACACCGAATCGTTTGACATTGTTACGTGCACGGTATCGTTTGATTATTGAAGAGGCCGTCGCCGTCCCAGCCAGTGGCCTTGTTCTGGCGACACTGCGAAGGCCAAGTGAGGGGGGAAAGACACAGCAGACCCGTGGGTCCAGGCGAGTCGTGATGATGGTAGACGGGGGCAATCGTCCTGGCCTGTGGCTTGGGCCTGCCTCACGACTGCGTTGGTTCTTCTGCATCGTCTGTGGACTGAGGGATGAGGTGAGGTGTGGTAGTGTGACCCAACTGGCGAGGGTCATCAAGTGACTGGGGCGGACCTGAACAAGCCTCTCGAGGTCATGCAAGAGGTCTCGAGGGTCCTCAAGCCGGGTGGCCTTGTCATCCTCTCCACGAGCAACCGCTGCTTCCCGTCCAAGGCGGTTCAGATTTGGTTGCAGACGGGCGACATCGAGCACTGCCTCATATATGGAAGCGAGGGAATCAACCACCGCAGATTTTCAAATGATTTTGGTCTCCCGAGGTGTACCCCTGGGAGGCTCCTTGACAACTCGGAGCTGTCTTGGGGCATCTTGACGGCATGCCATTACCTTTTAGTGTGCCATCTTGGAAGTCATCTTGGGCTATGTGGGACCATCTGATGCCATCTTGGACGCACTGACTCATCGCGGCATCTGACGCCCAGATCCAAGGGGAGGGGGTAGGGGGAGGGGTCAAGACTCCCTACCCGCCCGCAAGCCGTCTCGCTCACTCCCACCCGCCCTCCCAACACTAACGTAGCACCCGAGCCTGGCCCGAGCCGCAGCATATTCAGCAGTCGTCTTTGGATGGGCAGCTACTGGGGGCGAGTCCGCCGCCGCCTCCGCCGCCGCCGCCGCCCGCCGCCGCCGTCGCCGCGCTGCCGCGCTGCCGCCGCCGCCGCCGCCGCCCGCCGCCGCCGCCGCCGCCGCCCCCGCCGCCGCCGCCGCCGCCACCGCCGCAGCCGCCGCAACCGCTGCCCCCGCCGCAGCCGCCGCCGCCGCCGCCAAGTGTACTCTGTATTGTTTTTTGACCGGGATGGTGGGGGGAGGCCGCATCGGGTTCGCTGTGCATGCTTTACAAGGGATGGTGGGGGGGTGCCCGCGTTGTCCCTGGTTGGCTCCCAGTCGCCTGGGGGAGGGGGTGTATATTAATAGGGAACAGTAATCAAGGTACGCGAAGCCGAAAGCCGTGTCGCTCACTCCCACCCGCTCTCCCAACACAGGCAACATCCGAGCCTTGGCCCACTGAGTTCACGAACCCCGTCGGAAGCGCATTGCCGAGCATATTGAGAAGGGCGGAGCCCGAAACACTGGCATCGATTCGCACATCGCTTTTCTTTGGAGCCGTTTCTCCGGACAGAATGCGGAGCCAGTTTTTGGTTCTTTCCATTATCCGCACACATGCAAAATGATCGCGGGGCGCCCGCGCATGGACCAGCTTTTGCCATAATGTGTGCTACGCATTGCGTGTTCGGATTGGATACCTGAGGGCGTTCGCGTGACCGGCGGCCCCGACAGCACTACGCATATAGATTTTCGATGTCGTTTTTCATCTAGCGAGCCCCGCTGCCCTCCAGGGGCACGGGCGCGGGACCACCGCAGCGCTGCATCCTGTCCTGTCTCACCGAGCGCGTTCCACTACCCGCAGAGTGCCTGCTTGCAAACTTCCGAAGAACACGTATGTCTGCCTCGACGTAACTCATCGTAGACCCCCTGCGGCGGATCCGGGCCATTTGCGAGCAGTCACTTTTGCGAGCAGTGCAACGCGCTCGTCTGTGTCCTGCCCTCTTGACAGGGATGGCAGGCCTGCGCGGCGCGGACAGGGCGAGGCCCCCCGCAGCCGCCCCCGCCAGCAGCCACTGCGGAGTGCTCACACGGGGCGCCCGCGCACGGTCCGGATTCTGTCGCACTGCGCACTCCGCACCGTTTTCTGGCAGGGATGGCGGGGGGCATGCTTTGTTCCGGGTTTGTCGCTGGTCGGGTGGGGGGAGGGGGTGTATGTTTTAGGGGGCCACACGCGAACCCTACCCCTACCCCCCACGATTTCTGAGGGGGAGGGTGGGGTTCACTTCGCTCGGGAGCTCCCGAACGAAATGAACCCCACCCTCCCCCTCGGGGGGTAGGGGTAGGGTTCGCGTGTGGCCCCCTATGTTTGGATCGGGAAAGCGTAAGGCTCGAGTGAGCCGGAACTCGGGTTTGCCTGCGTTTTTTGACGAGCGCGTCCTGGGTTTTGACGGTCCAGTGTTCGCCGCGTCCTGTCGTGCTGCCTGCGTGTGGTTGTTTCTGGCTTGCCTCGTTCTTCCTTCGCGTCTGCTGTGGGGGCTTCTGCATGCCTCATGGAGGCCCCGGGGGCTGCCTTTCGGAGCTTTTTCAGGGCTCCTGGGTGCTTTTGGGGGGCCTCTGAGAGCTTCTTGGGGGTCTCTTGAGGGCATCCTGGGGGACGCTCGGCGTCTTCGGGCCCGTCTTGTGGGGAATGGTTCCTCGGGCCCTGACTGGTTCTCTTGTGCCTCCCTGGCCACTCTTGGGGCCCTCCTCGTCCTCCTCTGTCTCCTCCTCCTCCTTTTCCTTCTTTTCCTCCTCCTCCTCCTCCTCTTCCTCCTCCTCCTCCATCCCCCGTCCTCCTGGTGCTGTTGCTCCTCCTCCTCCTCCTCCTTTTCATTTTAGACTAACGTGAGGAGCTAGCCTGTCGCGTTCCTGCATGTGCGCAAAGAGAGAGAGAGAGAGAGAGAGGTAGAACCGACTCGGGGCACTGTACCTGGCGGGCGCCGCGGAAGATGAGGGAAACAGAGTCCAGGAAAAGAAAACGAAAGAGAGTAGGCGCCCGCCAGGTAGAGGTCGACACTCATCTTAGTCGTGAAACTCCTCCTCTAGTCAGCGCCTGAATAGTAAATTACGTCGTTCTTAATGGTGGGTGTCGCCTCGGCAAGGTAAGGTGCGAAACTGAAATAGTGCAGTTCTAGGGTTGCTGCCCAGGGTTTAAGGTTGACCCCCAACCGTAGGTACATCCTTCCCAACAAGACCCCCGCGCAACCATAGTCAACATCGCCCACCCCCATCCACGTCGTGTACCATGCTTGCGGTACGCAAGAGTAGAGCAGTTGTTGATTCCTGAGGATCATTCCTCCTCCTCCCTTTTCCCGTCCCCCTCCTCCCCCTCCTCCCTTCTTCCGCCTCCTCGCCCACTTCTCCCTCTCTACCTCCCTCCCCGCACCCCCATCCCTCATCTCCCCACCGTACCAGCGCTCATTACAGCATGGTTCGCGCACCGCGTTAAATCCATCCCCGCCTTCCCCGGGATGACCACGACGACCACCACTATGACCGCGACGACGACGACGACGACGACGACGACGACGACGACGACGACGACCCCCAGGAAGCTACATACACTATGCTGGGGGCTTCGGGCCGCCGGAGGCCCTCGACCTGGGCGGCCCCCTGGCGAGGCCCTCGCGAGCCGGTCGTCGTCGTCGTCGTCGTCGTCGTCGTCGTCGTCGTCGTCGTCGTCGTCGTCGTGGTCGTGGTCGTGGTCGTCGTCGTCGTGGTGGTGGCCGTCGTCGTCGCCGTCGTCGTCGTCGTCGTCGTCGTCGTCGTCGTCGTCGTCGTCGTCGTCTTGGTCGTTCTCGGCGTCGGCGTCGTCGTCGTCGTCGTCGTCAACGTCGTCGTCGTCGTCGTCGTCGTCGTCGTCGTCATCGTCGTAGTCGTCGTCTCCTCCCTCACCGCGCGCGCGCGGAAGCGCGCACGCCATGAGGAGGGAGGAGGAGGCTCCCCGACAAGGCTCGGCATGGACGACCCCGTGTTCGTGATCCAGGCCAGGAGGGTGCCGTGAGTGCGGCCCGAGCGCCCGCCGGCGCGGGCCCGTGCGGCGGCCTTCGCGCGGCGCCGCGTGGCCAGAGGATTGTCGCCTCCGCCGTCGTCGATGCGATGGGAGTCTGGTCCGCTGCCTCTCCAGGAGGAGGAGGAGGAGGAGGTGGAGGAGGAGGAGGAGGAGGAGGAGGAGGAGGAGGAGGAGGAGGAGGAGGGGAGGAGCAGGGCAGGAGCAGGAGCAGGAGCAGGAGCAGGAGGAGGAGGAGGAGGAGGAGGAGGAGGAGGAGGAGGAGGAGGAGGAGGAGGAGGAGGAGGAGGGAGGAGGAGGAGGAGGAGGAGGAGGAGAGCAGGAGCAGGAGCAGGAGGAGGGAGGAGGAGGAGGAGGAGGAGGAGGAGGAGGAGGAGGAGGAGGAGGAGGAGGAGGAGGGAGGAGGGGGAGGAGGGGGGGGGGAGGAGGAGGAGGAGGAGGAGGAGGAGGAGGAGGAGGATGAGGAGGAGGGGGAGGAGGAGGGGGAGGGGGAAGGGCAGGCGGAGGAGGAGGCGGAGGAGGAGGACCAGTGTAAACCCAAGAGTCATCAGCGATGTTGTAATAAACCCTCCCTTCAAGCTCCCTCTTCATAAGCCCCTACAAGGGCTCATTTCCACTGGGGGAACTGCCTGCCTCGTTGAAAGACAACCGTTTGAAAAATCTGATGCGTGCCAAAACATCGTTCTCGGGAATCCAACGCCAACCTCACTGTTGCGTTCTGACGATCCTGAATAGTGCCACGACGCCATTCTTGGGACTTTCACACCGCGAGCCAATGCAACTGTTGCGCCCTCATAACATAATCCTGAATCCTTCCAGAACATTCTTTCTGGTACGCTGATCATGGGAGCCCGTGAAAAGCATTTTTCAACGAATGTGAGCGGCGCTAAGGCGAGAGCCACATTTTGAAAAGGAGCCGCCCTCAATCCGCGAAGCTATTGCAACTCTTGTAAAACGGATGGACGCAACGCTAAAGCGAGAACCACATTTTGAACAAGAACCCTCTTTCAATCCGTGAAACTTTTGTTTTTTTTGCAATGAATGTGCGTGGCGCTAAGGCGAGAGTCACATTTTGAAAAGGAACCGCCCTCAATCCGTGAAACCCTTGCACATGTTTAAAGTGAATGTGCTCTGCGCTAAGGCGAGAGTCACATTTCGAAAACGGCCCGCCCTCCATCTGCGAAGCTGTTGTCAAGCTTCAGGGTCATAAATGTTGAGTCCGTCTCAGGAGAAATCGTCCGGACCGCCCTAAGTTAGCCTCGGGGTGCAACAGGGAGAAGTTGTTTAGAAGGGAAAGAAATGGATGAGGAGGAGGAGGAGGAGGAGGAGGAGGAGGAGGAGGAGGATGACCAGTGTAAACCCAAAAAATAATCAACGATGTTGGAATTAACCCTCCCTCCAATCTCCCTCTTCGTAGGCCCTACAACGGTTCATTGCCATTGAGGGAATTGCCTCGTTGGAAGACAACCGTTTGAAGAGCCTGAAGCATGCCAAAACAGTGCTCCCGGGATTTCAACTCCACGGATCAACCTGACTGCTCCGTCTTGACGATCTGGAATCGTGCCAGACCGCCATTGCTGGGACTTCAACACCGCGAATCAACATAATTGTTGCACCCGCGTAATCCTGAATCTTTCCCAAACAGTATTTCTGGTACGTTGATCATGGGAATCCGTGAAACCCTGGCAAACTTAAGCATGAATGTGCGCGGCGCTAAGGCGAGAGCCACATTTTGAAAAGGAACCGCCATCAATCCGCGAAAGTCTGGCAATTTTTACAACGAGTGCGCGCGACGCTAAGGCGAGAACCACATTTTGAAAAGGAGCCGCCTTCAATCCTTGAAACTATTGTACTTTGTTTGACAACGAATGTGCGCGGTGCTAAGACGATAACATCATTTTGAAAACGACCCGCCTTCAATCTGTGAAGCTGTTGTCACTTTTCAAGCTTCAGGGTCAGAAGTGGTGAGTCCGTCTCAGGCGAAACGCCTGGACCGCCCTAAGAACTGGCCTCGGGATGCGACAGGGAGAAGCTATTTATAAGAACAGGAATGGAGGAGGAGGATGATGATGATGATGATGAGGAGGAGGAGGAGGAGAAGGGAGGAGGAGGAGGAGGAGCAGGAGGAGGAGGAGGAGGAGGAGGAGGAGAATGGAGGAGGAGGAGCAGGAGGAGGAGGAGAAGGAGGAGGGAGGGAGGGACTGTCAGGTGCGGCCTGGCCGACCCCTGGCAAACCGACCCCTTCCGTGACGGCCTCCGCTCCAAGACGAGGGCAGGGCAGGCAGAGGGGAGCCTCCACGAGGGGCTCGTCACGGCAGGCGCTCGTCTCGGAAAGGGGCTCGTCACGGAAGGGATCGGCCAGGCCGCGCCCAAGCGGGAGGGAACATTGACGATGATTCATCGAAGACGCTTGCGGCCAACCGCCGCCGCCCCCTGCCTGTTGCAAACGCCCATGCGGCCAAACGGCGGGCCGAAATCTGGCCAAAGCTACCTGCGGCCCCCCGTGGGAGGAGGGTTCGCCTGGCCTCCCTCGCCCACTTCGGCGCCGCCTTCACGCGGATCGGGCCCCCCATTGACCTCCATCCGCGGCCCCAGTGAATGGGTTTACGTGCGCCCCCCCGCCCATTTCGGCGCACAGCCCGCGCGGATCGTGCCCCTTGGGGAGCTCCACCTGCCGCCTCAGCGGCAGGGTTCGCATGCGCCCCGAGGCAAAGAGTCTACGCTTCGCGAATCCGCACCAGCCCATTCAGGAGCCCTGCCCATGAGGGCTGACGGGAAAAGGGACGAAGCGACACATCTGATGGAACAGAGCGTGCAAGGAGAGGAGAGGAAGGAGGGTGTTGAGCCATCTTGGAGGCTATATTGGAGCATCTGAGGCCTTCGCGGAGCTAGGGGCTGTATTGGGGGATGTTGGGGTCCTCTTGGAGCTCTTTTGGGGCATCTTGGGGCTCTCTTGGGGCTCTTTGGGGGGTCCCTCTTGAAGCTCTTTTGGGGCGCTTTGGGGCCCTCACTCACGGGGCTCTTGGGGCTCTCTTGGGGCCCTCTCTCGGAGTTATGGAGCGCCTCCTGGGGACCATCGATCAAGGGAGGGGGGGATCCTCGATTTGCCTCCCCCCTCCTGGGCCATTGAAATAGCCTCTTAGGGCGCTCTTGGGGCCCTCTTGGGGTGATCTTGGGCGCTCTTGGGGCAGTCTTGGGGGCCTCTTGGGCCCTTCTTGGGGCTCTCTTGGGCCATCTAAGGGCCATCTTGAGGACTCTAAAGCGCATCGGAAGCGAAAAGAAGAGAAGGCAACAGTCAGTGATTTTCCAAAGGTTTTTGAAGGACTTTGGCTTCTCGGGAATGTCCTGAGGGGTCGCCTAAAGCACTTGGATCCGTCTTGTGACCTTCTTGGAGCCTCTTGGAGGCATTTTGTTAACATCTTGAGTGATCTTGGAGACCATCTTGGGCTCTCTGAGGCCCTCCTGGAGCCATCTTTGGCCATCTTGGACGCTCCACCTCCTTGCGAACCCCCCCGTCCAGGTCCAGGGGGCCCCATAGGGAGCTCCACCGAAGGCCCCAGCGGTAGGGTTCGCATGGAGGCCCCGCCTCATTTTGGCGCACCCCTCACACGGTTCGTGGCCCCACAGGGAGCTCCACCGTGGGCCCCAGCGGCAGGGTTCGCATGGCGGCTCCGCCTCATTTTGGCGCACCCCTCACACGGTTCGTGGCCCCATAGGGAGCTCCACCGAAAGCCCCAGTGGCAGGGTTCGCATGGCGGCCCCGCCCCATTTTGGCGCACCCCTCACACGGTTCGTGGCCCCATAGGGGGCTCCACCGAAGGCCCCGGTGGCCGGGTTCGCATGGCGGCCCCGCCTTGTTTTGGCGCAGCCCTCACACAGTTCGTGGCCCCATAGAGAATTCCTCTTGCTTCGTCCCACCTGCCCTGCGGTATTCACGTTTGCATATGGTTGGGTCCTTCGCCAGGATAATTTTGTCAGGGATGGTAGCCCTGCGCACAGCAGGGAATATGCTGGCACCTCCGCCGTCCCTGTCAAACACAATACAAAGTGCTCGCGGGCCTCACGAACATGACTTAAGGCCTTGCCACAAATTGTACTTTGCGTTGTTTTTTGACAGGGATGGTGGGGGGGGCCGCATCGGGTTGGCCGCGCATGCTCCCAATGTGGAGGCAGAATGAGGTTCGTATTTTTTGGACAGGGATGGTGGGGGACGGGCCCGCATGGGGTCGGCATGGTTCTGGGTTGGCCGCCGGCCGGGTGGGGGAGGGGGTGTATACCAATAAGGAACAGTCTTCAAGAAAACCCCTGGGTAGAGAGCCGTCTAGCTCACTCCCACCTGCCCTCACAAGACATAGGCAACACCCGAGCCTCAGCATGTTCAGCGGTCGTCTTTGGTTGGGTAACTACTGGGAAGCCAAACTGTGCGCGACGGTGGGGCGAGGTGCGCCACGCGTGCCAGGCGCGCCAGGTGCGCCAGGCACCTCTGGGGCCCGAGCGTGTCAGGCACGCCAGGTACGCCCGATGAGCCATGTGCTCCGCGTGCGCCAGGTGTGCCGAATACTCTAGCCGCGCCAGGTGCGCCACGTTCGGGGCACGCGCAGCGTGTGTCAGGTGCGCCTGCGCACGTGACAGCACATTAACCTCGAAGTGCATATTGTATTGTCATATTTGTTTGGGATGGTCGCCATGCCCGCGGCGGGCAATACGCCGACACTCCCGCCGTCCCTGTCAAAAACAAAGCAAAGTGCTCGCGGGCCTCACGAACATGACTCACGACTTTGCCCCACAGTGTCTTTTGTATGTTTTCTCCCAACCATCCTGTGGTGTTGGGTCCTCGTTTGGAAGAGACGGTCCCCGCGTCTCCTCCTCCCGCTGCCCCCTCCCCCCCCAGTGGGGGTGGCCACATGCGTCCGTCACACCCGGTACAGCGTTTCGTGGCCCCATAGGGAGCTCCACCTAAGGCCCCCCCCATTGGGGGTGGCCACATGCGTCCGCCACAACCAGTACAGCGTTTCGTGGCCCTATAGGGAGCTCCACGCAAGGCCCCAGTGGGGGGAGCACCTAAGGTCCCAGTGGGGATGGCCACATGCGTCCGCCACACCCAGTGCAGCGTTT